GAGTTCGTGTCCTTCGGGACTCGGATCGGTGGCGAGTCCCTCGAGGGCAAGTTGGAGAGGATTAACAAAATTCCCGACTTTCGTGTTATCGAACATGACGGCTATGATTTCCAGGTCCAGCCTTTTCAGCCGTCGGACCTTCCGGCAAGGAGCGATCTCGGCGATTGGATCTGTTAAGATCAAGCTGTTGCTATCTTGTTGTATCGTCTTCGTTGTGATTGCGTTCGCCAGCCGTGCGGCGTCGTTTATGGGATGGAAACAGAGCCACACGGCTCATCTCGGTCATCCTTCCCTTCCAAGGTCTGCCTGAAGAATCGTGCAGTCATTTCTTCAGATAAATTTTCTATTGATAATTGTCATTTATTGCTAGAAATAAGCATTCATTTCTTGCGTTGTTTCCAAATTTATGTTAGTCGTAAATACTCTAGGAATTTAGTATTTCTGCATACGTATTAATTCGTTCTCGCTGCTTATGCCTATAAATCTAAGGCAGAATAAAGTCATAATTGCTTGCTTCTCTCTCTCTCTCTGAATTTGAAAATCTATATGGAGATGATTAATGCTCTGTATGGCTGATTCTTTTGCGGTGGTGCTAGATGTAAATAGAGACGGCAATGGCTGTGTCTATTTAACTGTCATTTGCACGACGGCTTGCGTTATTTCAATGATTACATTGCTTAAGTGAGATCTGGCTTCTAATAATACTGCAGTTAGTTTGCATCGCTCAGTTCATTTTTAGATCCTTTGCCACTTTGCATAGGCATTTAAACATGAACAACTGTAATTCTGTAGTTATGCTGCTTGGGGATTTTGAAAGTTTGGTCAAATTTGCTCTTTGGTCGTCTAATCTTACTAAGAACAGCTGGTGCAATTATTTCCGTGCTTTTCGACACACAGAAAATGGTATTCTTTCACTGGATTTTATATAGTATTAGAACTAGCTCCCGCCGGATACACGTGTAATGTCTTTAAAGTAATGAGAACCTAGCCAAGAGCTCTTTCAGATGTTGAGAAGCTCTTTTTGGTTATCAGATCAGACGTGCTAGAGAACATAGGTAGCTGGTATAACCGTATGAGCGGGAGCTAGGTCTATATTCATTAACAACAGAGACTTCAAACTTAGAGTTTGAGAAATACTTCTGTCTGGATTTGGCAGAACAGAAGCAAATTTATTAGGGTTGAGTTAAATATAAGTTGTGACATTGGTCAAAGTATTACTCGTTGTGATTATATGCTGACATTCATATTCATATCGCTTGTCCATTATGACTTACTTGGCTTCCCCTACACAGTTTATTCTTGCTTTCTTGCCATGATTACCATAAGTTGTGGTTGGTTCTAATGCTGTGTTTCATGATGCCTACAGGAAAGGATATGCTTTGTTGATTAATACATGGAAGAGAAATGATCTCTTGAAACAATCCATTTCTCACTATGCATCATGTCCTGGGCTTACTTCTATACACATAGTCTGGAGCGAGCCTGATCCTCCCTCCGTTTCTCTTATTAAATATTTAAACCATGTCATAGAATCAAACTCCAGAGATGGTCAACAAATTGAACTGAAATTTGACATCAATAGGGAAGACAGTTTGAACAATAGGTTCAAAGAGATCAAGAATTTGAAGACAGATGCTCTATTTTCGATTGATGATGATGTCATATTCCCATGCTCATCAGTTGAATTGGCTTTTAGCATTTGGCAAAGTGCACCTGATACAATGGTGGGGTTTGTACCACGTATGCATTGGGTTGACAGATCGGTATGTCTTCTCCTTTTTTTATTTTTTATTTTTTATTTTGACAACCGGCTACCATTTGAAACTAGAATTATGCTTATTCTGCAGCGGTGAATGTAACTTTGTACATTACGACGGATCTGTATGCAGATATCTACATCGTAGATTGTGTGTGTTTGTGCATGACAGAGAGAGGGAGAGAGAGACGAATATATATATATGGAAATGGAACATGCTTGATATAAATTTTTGGAGAGGAAAAGGCTAACTTTCTCTTTTTTGTATGTCCTGCCTTTTGTGCTCCTTTGCTATGGTAGTATTTGATAATATTGTTCTAATTTAACTCGTCGAACATAGTAGTGTTTGTCAAAGTAGAATAAACATGTTGACGAAAACTATCATCAACTTTTACATGTTCCTTGTTACCTGGAATTGGAAGGAAAACTTTTCGTCCATCCCCAAATAAGGATGTTTTGAATCCATGAAACTAAAAATTTTATCAACAATATTAAGGTTTGGTTCATTAGAGTTGCCTCAAGGAGCAAATACATTGTCTCAGTTGATACCAAGAAGTGAAAATAAATTCGGACCGAAGAAGTTATATTGTTGTTCTATATTATTGGAATAGGAGAAGATTTCTCCTGTTATGTTACTGAAGAATTTTAGCTAAACAAGATAAGTTTTTGATATTGCTAGAACTTCTGCAAGCATGCAAATATTTTGAAGTAATTGAACTTGTCCTTCTTGGTTACTCAAAATGACATCTTGTACCAAAACTACAATTCTAAATACCTTATCTACTAAATGGGGAACTATCAAATTTACACAGAATCTGATATTAATTTTTGTTGTGCTGCAAAGTTTGTTTAATACTTGACTCTTGGTGATCAATTGGCCAGTCAATAACCCTTTGCGTCACCTGCGCTTGGGATGCTCTAGTAATTACACTTCACTTATGTTTAGGAGCTGAATTAGATGTTTTTATTGTTTCGTCTGAAATTTTTTGGGCCTTTGAGCAGCTGGAGTATGTCTCGTATTCTGCATCTTAGACTGCAGTTGTTTTCATTCTAAAATCATGACTCCTATAAATTCTTTGATCCATAGTATGTGGTTTTGACTAGTGACTGCTTGAACTTTTCTTGTCAGTAAACTTATTCTGTCTTTTAAAATGGACATATTTCATTCATCTTGTGGTTTTGTAGCTATTTTTTTATTGGTAAAATACTACTTTACTCATCCTAACATGGAAATTTTTCCAATTCTGATTGACGCACTTGGTGCATTTATTTTTCCCCCCTTTAAAACGGGGCAGGGAGGAGGAGGGGGAGGGGTGCTTGGGAAAGAAGAAAAACCAGGTGCATCTTTGAGTATTACTTGTATTGTTATTAAAGCATGAAGTTGTCATGCAGAAAGGCAACTCTGACCAATTCACTTATGGAGGATGGTGGTCTGTTTGGTGGATGGGAACATACAGTATGGTTCTTTCGAAAGCGGCCTTTTTCCACCAGAAGTATCTTAGTTTGTATACTTATCAAATGCCTGCATCGATTCGAGAATATGTGACCACAAACAGGTTCTTATTCAATCCTAGAAATTTTCTTCCATGCTTCATCTGATGTTTGTCTCTCTTATTTTGTTCCTGCTGCTCTGTTGTTTACCAAAGTTAACTATATTCAATTGAATGAATAGGAATTGTGAAGACATCGCAATGTCTTTCTTAGTTGCAAATGCTACTGGTGTTCCCCCAATATGGGTAAGAGGTAAGTGAAGCTTGTCAGGCAACTTTTCATCCGTGTCTTATCTTCTAGTTCAGCCTGCTTTTTCGAATTTATTGCTCTACCTTGTCCGTCTCATGGTATGCCCCTCCACCCTCCCACATGTTCAATCAACACACGGACTTTCAACCAGAAAATTAACATTTGTCCTGGTTGAGGCTGCAAAAGATCACTCTAGTAAACAACAATACCAAGTTTGGTTCAGTCTTACTAGACTTCTATAAGGTATCTTGTTCTGTGACTCTGTTTGCCTCTGTATGTAATATGGATGTATCTGGCTGGTAACTAAATCCCTATCCTTGGAGAATTGTATCACGGGTGCTGTGACCTGCTTAGGATCACACTACTTAAGAGTTGCCAATAATGCATAGTAACGCTGATAATGCAGTTAGCACAGGTTAAGTTCTCTGCACCAAAAAAAAAAAAAAAAAAAATCTTGTAGAGATGTTACTCTAATACTTAGTTGAAAACAGTGGTCTGCCAGAATTTTTTGCTGTCATCACATAGCCTGTTAATTTTCTTTGTTTTTGTTTACATTACCAATCTTGTCAATTATCGAATTAAACAATTTTGATTTTTACTACATTTTTCATGTTTGACTTAGAATATGTGTTGACTTTGCAATGTCATTTATTGAGTTTCATTCTGCTACTGAAGAACATTACTTTCAAATCATTTACTTTAGAGACTTTTCTTGATATTCGTCTTCTCGTGTTAATCCAGGCAAGATATATGAGATTGGTTCCACAGGGATCAGTAGTTTGGGAGGTCACAGCAATAGGAGGACAGAATGTGTTAATAGGTTTGTAGCTGAATATGGGCACATGCCCTTAGTACCAACTTCAGTGAAAGCTGTTGATAGTCGAAGCAGTTGGTTTTGGTGATGGAGTTGGCAATGTTAGTGATGATGGCTTCGTTCCTTTTATTTTCTATCTTGTGTGGTTCTTTGCCACATAATCATCTTCCTAAGTCAATTGTTGTAAGCGTCTTTTTGTAATAGTATCCACTTTCCACATGGTTACCAAATGTAGAAGGAAAATTTTAGTTTAGCAACATTCTTTTAGGACTTAGGTCAGAAATCATCCTTGTGAAAGAGCCAGAGGGGAAGTACATTATCTTCCCAGTATAGTTGCCTTATTAATTATGGAGGGGTTTTCTTGTATCTTAGCCCCTCGAAGTTAAATTGATACTCTAATTATGGAGGGGTTTTCTTGTATCTTAACCCCACAAAGTTAAATTGAAACAGTGTATCAACATCGGCTCAGTAAAATGCTGCTTTGTTTGCCTAGTTTTTGTCTAAATGCAGTTTTGTTTTAGAAACTTTTGCATATAAATCTAAGGCAGAATAAAGTCATAATTGCTTGCTTCTCTCTCTCTCTCTCTGAATTTGAAAATCTATATGGAGATGATTAATGCTCTGTATGGCTGATTCTTTTGCGGTGGTGCTAGATGTAAATAGAGACGGCAATGGCTGTGTCTATTAAACTGTCATTTGCACGACGGCTTGCGTTATTTCAATGATTACATTGCTTAAGTGAGATCTGGCTTCTAATAATATAATACTGCAGTTAGTTTGCATCGCTCAGTTCATTTTTAGATCCTTTGCCACTTTGCATAGGCATTTAAACATGAACAACTGTAATTCTGTAGTTATGCTGCTTGGGGATTTTGAAAGTTTGGTCAAATTTGCTCTTTGGTCGTCTAATCTTACCAAGAACAGCTGGTGCAATTATTTCCGTGCTTTTCGACACAGAGAAAATGGTATTCTTTCACTGGATTTTATATAGTATTAGAATTAGCTCCCGCCGGATACACGTGTAATGTCTTTAAAGTAATGAGAACCTAGCCGAAAGCTCTTTCAGATGTTGAGAAGCTCTTTTTGGTTATCAGATCAGATGTGCTAGAGAACATAGGTAGCTGGTATAACCGTATGAGCGGGAGCTAGGTCTATATTCATTAACAACAGAGACTTCAAACTTAGAGTTTGAGAAATACTTCTGTCTGGATTTGGCAGAACAGAAGCAAATTTATTAGGGTTGAGTTAAATATAAGTTGTGACATTGGTCAAAGTATTACTCGTTGTGATTATATGCTGACATTCATATTCATATCGCTTGTCCATTATGACTTACTTGGCTTCCCCTACACAGTTTATTCTTGCTTTCTTGCCATGATTACCAGAAGTTGTGGTTGGTTCTAATGCTGTGTTTCATGATGTCTACAGGAAAGGATATGCTTTGTTGATTAATACATGGAAGAGAAATGATCTCTTGAAACAATCCATTTCTCATTATGCATCATGTCCTGGGCTTACTTCTATACACATAGTCTGGAGCGAGCCTGATCCTCCCTCCGTTTCTCTTATTAAATATTTAAACCATGTCATAGAATCAAACTCCAGAGATGGTCAACAAATTGAACTGAAATTTGACATCAATAGGGAAGACAGTTTGAACAATAGGTTCAAAGAGATCAAGAATTTGAAGACAGATGCTCTATTTTCGATTGATGATGATGTCATATTCCCATGCTCATCAGTTGAATTGGCTTTTAGCATTTGGCAAAGTGCACCTGATACAATGGTGGGGTTTGTACCACGTATGCATTGGGTTGACAGATCGGTATGTCTTCTCCTTTTTTTATTTTTTATTTTGACAAGCGGCTACCATTTGAAACTAGAATTATCCTTATTCTGCAGCGGTGAATGTAACTTTGTACATTACAACAGATCTGTATGCAGATATCTACATCGTAGATTGTGTGTGTTTGTGCATGACAGAGAGAGGGAGAGAGAGACGAATATATATGGAAATGGAACATGCTTGATATAAATTTTTGGAGAGGAAAAGGCTAACTTTCTCTTTTTTGTATGTCCTGCCTTTTGTGCTCCTTTGCTATGGTAGTATTTGATAATATTGTTCTAATTTAACTCGTGGAACATAGTAGTGTTTGTCAAAGTAGAATAAACATGTTGACGAAAACTATCATCAACTTTTACATGTTCCTTGTTACCTGGAATTGGAAGGAAAACTTTTCGTCCATCCCCAAATAAGGATGTTTTGAATCCATGAAACTAAAAACTTTATCAACAATATTAAGGTTTGGTTCATTAGAGTTGCCTCAAGGAGCAAATACATTGTCTCAGTTGATACCAAGAAGTGAAAATAAATTCAGACCGAAGAAGTTATATTCTTGTTCTATATTATTGGAATAGGAGAAGATTTCTCCTGTTATGTTACTGAAGAATTTTAGCTAAACAAGATAAGTTTTTGATATTGCTAGAACTTCTGCAAGCATGCAAATATTTTGAAGTAATTGAACTTGTCCTTCTTGGTTACTCAAAATGACATCTTGTACCAAAACTACAATTCTAAATACCTTATCTACTAAATGGGGAACTATCAAATTTACACAGAATCTGATGTTAATTTTTGTTGTGCTGCAAAGTTTGTTTAATACTTGACTCTTGGTGATCAATTGGCCAGTCAATAACCCTTTGCGTCACCTGCGCTTGGGATGCTCTAGTAATTACACTTCACTTATGTTTAGGAGCTGAATTAGATGTTTTTATTGTTTCGTGTGAAATTTTTTGGGCCTTTGAGCAGCTGGAGTATGTCTCGTATTCTGCATCTTAGACTGCAGTTGTTTTCATTCTAAAATCATGACTCCTATAAATTCTTTGATCCATAGTATGTGGTTTTGACTAGTGATTGCTTGAACTTTTCTTGTCAGTAAACTTATTCTGTCTTTTAAAATGGACATATTCCATTCATCTTGTGGTTGTGTAGCTATTTTTTTATTGGTAAAATACTACTTTACTCATCCTAACATGGAAATTTTTCCAATTCTGATTGACGCACTTGGTGCATTTATTTTTCCCCCCTTTAAAACGGGGCAGGGAGGAGGTGGGGGAGGGGTGCTTGGGAAAGAAGAAAAACCAGGTGCATCTTTGAGTATTACTTGTATTGTTATTAAAGCATGAAGTTGTCATGCAGAAAGGCAACTCTGACCAATTCACTTATGGAGGATGGTGGTCTGTTTGGTGGATGGGAACATACAGTATGGTTCTTTCGAAAGCGGCCTTCTTCCACCAGAAGTATCTTAGTTTGTATACTTATCAAATGCCTGCATCGATTCGAGAATATGTGACCACAAACAGGTTCTTGTTCAATCCAAGAAATTTTATTCCATGCTTCATCTGATGTTTGTCTCTCTTATTTTGTTCCTTCTGCTCTGTTGTTTACCAAAGTTAACTATATTCAATTGAATGAATAGGAATTGTGAAGATATCGCAATGTCTTTCTTAGTTGCAAATGCTACTGGTGTTCCCCCAATATGGGTAAGAGGTAAGTGAAGCTTGTCAGGCAACTTTTCATCCGTGTCTTATCTTCTAGTTCAGCCTGCTTTTTCAAATTTATTGCTCTACCTTGTCCGTCTCATGGTATGCCCCTCCACCCTCCCACATGTTCAATCAACACACAGACTTTCAACCAGAAAATTAACATTTGTCCTGGTTGAGGCTGCAAAAGATCACTCTAGTAAACAACAATACCAAGTTTGGTTCAGTCTTACTAGACTTCTATAAGGTATCTTGTTCTGTGACTCTGTTTGCCTCTGTATGTAATATGGATGTATCTGGCTGGTAACTAAATCCCTATCCTTGGAGAATTGTATCACGGGTGCTGTGACCTGCATAGGATCACACTACTTAAGAGTTGCCAATAATGCATAGTAACGCTGATAATGCAGTTAGCACAGGTTAAGTTCTCTGCACCAAAAAAAAAAAAATCTTGTAGAGATGTTACTCTAATACTTAGTTGAAAACAGTGGTCTGCCAGAATTTTTTGCTGTCATAACATAGCCTGTTAATTTTCTTTGTTTTTGTTTACATTACCAATCTTGTCAATTATCGAATTAAACAATTTTGATTTTTACTACATTGTTCATGTTTGACTTAGAATATGTGTTGACTTTGCAGTGTCATTTATTGAGTTTCATTCTGCTACTGAAGAACATTATTTTCAAATCATTTACTTTAGAGACTTTTCTTGATATTCGTCTTCTCGTGTTAATCCAGGCAAGATATATGAGATTGGTTCCACAGGGATCAGTAGTTTGGGAGGTCACAGCAATAGGAGGACAGAATGTGTTAATAGGTTTGTAGCTGAATATGGGCACATGCCCTTAGTACCAACTTCAGTGAAAGCTGTTGATAGTCGAAGCAGTTGGTTTTGGTGATGGAGTTGGCAATGTTAGTGATGATGGCTTCGTTCCTTTTATTTTCTATCTTGTGTGGTTCTTTGCCACATAATCATCTTCCTAAGTCAATTGTTGTAAGCGTCTTTTTGTAATAGTATCCACTTTCCACATGGTTACCAAATGTAGAAGGAAAATTTTAGTTTAGCAACATTCTTTTAGGACTTAGGTCAGAAATCATCCTTGTGAAAGAGCCAGAGGGGAAGTACATTATCTCCCCAGTATAGTTGCCTTGTTAATTATGGAGGGGTTTTCTTGTATCTTAACCCCTCGAAGTTAAATTGATACTCTAATTATGGAGGGGTTTTCTTGTATCTTAACCCCTCAAAGTTAAATTGAAACAGTGTATCGACATCGGCTCAGTAAAATGCTGCTTTATTTGCCTAGTTTTTGTCTAAATGCAGTTTTGTTTTATAATCTTTTGCATGTCATCATATCTTTCATTTTTCAGAAACTTTTGAGCATTTGCTTCAGTTGAAAATTTTGGCAATAATAAAAAGTGGTCATTGTACAGCTCAAATGAGGAGGATTTTGCACATGCGGCTGTCTGGGGTGTCTCTATCTAATTATAATTAGCAAATGTTTATTTCTACAGGCCACATCATTACAAGGAACTCTACCTCTCAGCCATAGATCAACTCCCTAGTACACTTCAAGGGAATATCTCCCTTCAATAATGTTAGATGCTGAGCTTCTCTTCTTCTCCTTGTTAATCATATTGACTATATCCAGTCCTGCTGTTTAACGATTACTTATAGTCATCCTCAGGGAGTGTTGTGAAACTTCTGAGGTTTGTATATACTTGATTCTCACTAGGAAACGACTTAATTACATATTTGAATCTCTGCTGCTGCTGCTGCTGCTGCTGTTAGAAGCATCAAGAGGAAAACACGTTTCTTCGCCACCAGTGCTCCATAGGAAATTGGCATATTTGGATGCAAGATAAGAATTCTCTGGCTCAATTGATAGGGCTTGTAGATATGTATCTTCTGCTCTCCAGAAGTCCTTTCTAACTATCCACAAAAAGTCGGCATACCGGCTGAGGGATTCAGCATCCAGAGGCTCCACCTGGATTGCTCGCTTAAAACACTCTTCTGCCCTGTCAAAGTCGATGAAGAGAAAGTCAGACACTTCATTTTCCGAGGCTTAGCGTGGCAAATTTTCACATTCATTGCTCTCACAGGCCTTAAAGTCATGGCTGAGCTAAAACTTAGTAACATGAGGTAAAAAAGGATCTTATGCAACATGAATCTTCAATGTAAATTGGACCTAGCCACCTTGCAAATTGGATAAGCTAAAGAGGGACTGTTTCTTCATAATCACCAGTCTTATGTGAGCCATGACAAAAGAACAAAGTAACACAAAAATAAAAGACCTATAAGATAGCTGTTTTATAAACTAAAACCAATGACAAGCATGAGATGGATCTAGGCAGGTGGTTTATGTCCATTACTGCATAGAAATAAATATTTGGCCTAAGTAGGAAGAGAAAATTTTAATAGCTGATCTTCTTTACAAATGAAAAGTTCTTTCTGGCTCCAAAAGAAGGGGGTAAAAACAAAGAAAGAAAGAAACTTTTAGTAACTGATGTGATGTTTGGTTTTAGTAATGGCATAGCATGATGAGTCATAATTGGTTAATACAGTAGCTAATAATACATACTTTACTTGCTCGTGATTTTAATGAGAAATATTAACGAGCAAAAACAAATTCCAGCAAGAATCAATAGTGTCTACCAACCGGATGCAATATATGTTTTGAGAAAATCACCTGTCATAATCATGAGCAACAAGGCGCAGAAATTGTGCATAATTGCAGAGCAAAAGTGGATTATCAGGATCCTGAGACAACCCCATCTGGTACGTAAGATCAGTCCTATGATATTCCATGTAGTCATCAGGTTCTATCTCCACAGATAGTGGAGATACAAACTTTTGCAACACATCATGATTAAGAACCATCTCGCCTGGACCTGGTTGCATTCTCGTTGCTTGATCCAGAAGAGAATTCCACAGCGACACCTCTGCCGCACTTCTGAATTCTTGATTGCCAACCTGCAAAAGTTCTTCAGGATCTGCCATTAAATGCTTTCTAGATGTTGATATATAACTCGAGTCTTCGTTTCTGCCATTTATTACTGAATTAGCTTCCCAGCCAACTCCATAATTATCAAAATTTGTTGAAGCCACTGACAAATTATCGCTTTGAGCATGTAGAATTGATCCCAACTCTTCCGTGGTTCTAGATAATGATCCATACAAACAAGCCTGTGATGTTGAATATACACCAAATTCTGCTAAAAGGCTCATCATACAGACCATCAAGGCTGGTGTTGGTGAAAAAACTTGCTGAAACAGCCAGACGAATGATAAATGCATGTCTCTCTGAACTTTAGAAATTATCACCTTTAAATCTTCATTGCACAATGCTTCCCTCATCTGTAATGCATAGCTCTGCAGCTCAACTATGATAAATACCGTCGAGGAGAAGGCCTTTGTCATCGAGGAACTAGCCAATTCTCCCACCCCTTTTAACGCTTCTTCTCTTTGGTGCTTCTTTTTAATCATCCTAAGCGATAGGGGAAGATCAAAGCTCTTAGCTCTTTGTTCAATATCTGCCCACAGTATTAAATCCCTCTCTGGCCAATCGGGTGGCTCTGGCATTATTCCAAGCGTTGTAGGCTCCAAGAAATCAATATGCGACTGCCATGACGAATTTTGAGAAAACGTTCGTCCTCTATCTTCCGAACTGAAGCCTTGAGCTAACCCTTCTGCATTGTGATCCCCAAAGACTTCATCCAAGTTTGCACTGCAAGACCTTTTCATTCTGTGAGCTATAGAAGCACGTTTGTTGAAATTGAGAGACTTGTTGAACTTTCTTGATATAAAGGAACCGGAAAGAAAATTTTGGCAGGCAATGGACTGATCCGCTTTCCTCTCTTTCATTGAAGGAGCTGAAGCAAAAGAACGATTAGTGATGGGAGAGAATGCTCGGTGTGGAACGTCCACACCAACTGGACTGATGTGGAGCTTCCTCATACTGTTTTGATCACCAATTACAGGCAAGAAAGAACAAAGGAGTCTAGGGGGTTCAATTCGAGCGAGATGAGAGTGATATTACTGTATCTTAGTCATACACAAAGTCAGTCAACGTAGGAAACAATAAGAATCGCGTGAAAAAAAGTCTTTTTTCCAAATCTCTAAACTAAAGCCCAGCTGGCCTTTTGATCTTTATCCGATCTTGAAATAGAGGGGAGCAGTAGACTAGAGAACTTTGATTTGGTTTGCTCTGATAATGACCCCACCTGTGACAAGCAGATAAAAAGCAGTGCCACAATTAGTACCGCAATCAATTTCGTCAAAGATAATGTACGTGTATGTCTATTATTGTCTAGTGCTGCGCTCCCTTCGTCCAACGTCAAACGCGTTGGGGGGAAGCACGTTCCAGAAAAGGAGCAAACTTGACAATTTTTCCCCATGATTGAAAAGGACTGGTTGTGAAGGGAAACAGCTCAGTTCCTATGAGGAAACCTTTAATTTACGTGCATAACTTTCCAGTAGAGTTTTACAGACTCGTTAATGGAACTTTAAAAGGGAAAAAAAATAACAAGGGCAGCTCTTGGCAGAATTTTTCCAAATACAAACTGTGGTTCCAACGAGTGATCCCTATTCAGTCTTGCACACAGCGTTAATCTTTTTACATATTTCATAAATGTTAAAAAAAAAACCCCACAAAATGAATCTTCCAACGCATGCCCTGCGACAATGATACTCCTTCTCCGTACCAAAATAATCAAAAAGAGCCAAAAAAGAAAGAAAAAAAAGGGGGGACTTTATCCCCGAAACTTCATCAGCTTACCGGAGATAGTAGTGATCGTTGAGGAAAAAGAAAAAAGGACCACGTCTAGAACAGAAAGCCCTCGATGGATGGGTGGTAGTGCTTGAATCAGAAAGCAGTGGAAGAAACGCAGGAAGTTGGCCTGGGATCTGATTGATGAATGCTCAACAGAAGAAGAAGAAGAAGAAGGACGTCAAATTTGATGACGCGTCGTTATTTGTGTGTTTGTGGGTGAGAGAGAGAGAGAGACAGGGATATGACTTATGAGAAGCTTTGCAGTTTGGAGTTCGGAGAGGTTTGCAACGTGTGCATTCTAAAACTCAACTCCGTGATGGAATTGGAAAACGGGAGATGCAGCAGAAACACAGAAACTGAGCGGACTCCTTAAAAATAGTACTGCTACTAGGAAAAGTCGGTTCCACAGTTGCGAGTCCTTAGGCAGGTGACGAGGGCTGAGGGGAAGAGAAACCTTTTGGCACCCGCACTTGTTGCTTAAGATAGCCCTTTCAACATTGGACATGCCTAAGTTTGGGCTTCATGAAGCTGTTCTGGGCTTTAACCAAGCCTCATATATCGACCACTACTGTTTGCTACAAATATGCAAGGACAAGATTCAGTGAAGGCTTTGGTTTTGAATTATTAGATCAAATTGTTCCTCAAAAGAAAATTGGAGGAAATGAAATCCAATTCTCTTCGTGGGTTAAAGTCCATAAATTAAGGAAACAAAATCCAATTCGCTTGATGGGTGAAAGTCCATAGATTGTAGGACCAATCCAATCTTAGACGGTTGAACAAAACCACGGGTTAAAACAACGATCAATACCACATATCGACCATTTTATGTATGATCGACCTCAATACGCATCACCAAAGAAAGAACCGGACCAACTGGGGTTGGGCCAAGTGGTAAGCAGCTTGGTTCCGCTTAAGCAGGTTTCGGGTTCGAAACCTGGCGTATGCAGCTACCCTTGTTGGGAGACTCACCCACCACAGCCAGGTGTGCGACCCGGGTCGACCAACGGATTAGTCAGGGCAAAACCCTGGATACCGTGGCAGGCAACCAAAAAAAAAAAAAAAAAGAAAGAACCGGGAATGGGCAACAGAAAGAAATAAAAACAAGCAATTGTGATAGACACTGGCGGACCTATGTCGCTCCAAGTAGGGTCAATTGATTTTTGAAAATTCCATATGGTTGTGTAGTAAGTTTGGATCTTTGCCCCATTCTAAAGAAATATAGCAGAGTCAATATCAAATAATCAAAAAGTTCATAATGCAATAAATAATTAAGAGTCAATTTAGATAAATAATTTTCTACCAAGTCAAAGTGCTTCTCAACTGTTCTTAAAGTTCATTAAGTGAAACATAATTTTGATGGGGAGTACCACTAAAATAAAGAAAAGAAATTTTAAGAGTAGCTAAATAAAAAATACGATGCACACAAAATGTTAGAAACCATCAAAGAAGAAAAAAACTAAAAATAGGGAGCAAAAATAGAGGAAGCAACAACTTGAAAATTTATCAAAAAGAATCAATTTGGATAAGAGTTTAT